AGAGCATGGGAAGCTGAAAAGTCCTTGGCTAGTGTAAGCATTACCTAGCAACAACTAAAACATCAGTGCGTTACCAACTTTGTTCTCATCCTAAATCCAAAACACCATACCAGCTACTAGAAAGGAAATTAACTCTATCCCTGCCGAAACCAGGACAGTGTGGAATTTCGATTTAAAACCTGCCCCTGTGGGGAATGCCGTCTGGCAAGCTGCGTAAGGGAGACTTCCAAGTTTCCTGAATAAAACCAGTTTTAGAGAGGATTGTTGACTACTGAAAGCTATCTGATAAAGATTTTGGTGCTTCGCGATATAAATGCGAACATGAGTGGAATTATAAGCAGACTGTTGGTGGTGAGGTTCTGGGCTTTTTGTTTTTCTGGATAAACCTACTTCATAATTTTCTAAAATTGGTGCTGAAGAGTATTCTAGTAATGCTTCTTTTGCTTTTATTCCCACAGCAGAAAGATGTCCTGAAGTAAAGAGTAAGTTAAAGTTTATTTTGTACTAAGATGCGCAAAGTTGCTAAGAAAGTTCCAGGCCTTTACGTACATGCTAATGATGTAAAGCAGTTAAATACAGGACTGTTAGTCGAAAATAACCTGTAACAATTACATCTTAAGAAGTTAAATAAAAACTGATTAAAACTAATTTTACGTACCATTAAGTTAACAGAGCTAATGCCTTTTATAAACAAAGGGGAAAATGTACAACTGTTGGTTCAAGATGAAACAGTTACTGCATTTTAAGTCGTCAAATGCAAAAGTTGTTGGCTGTTGATGATGATAACCCTGAATAGGAAGTGCCGTCAGATGCGAGAACTGACGATAACCTTCTTATTTGTCTGAAATACAGCGACGTGCATGCAGAGTTGAGTTCTAGGAATTTGTCTTCTAGAACTAATCAGGCAACTTTTATTTATACCTGCTTTCTGTGAAAAGTGCTCTTGTGATACCTAACATAGCTTCACGTCCATCTCTTTCACTTCATCTGCAGAGCCTGGTCTTGCCAGGTAAATGGGACACAATTGGGACTGGGAGCAGGTCGCTCTTTGGAGATGGCCCTAATGTGAAGGTAAGTGATGAATTTCACTGGACCATGTAGAGCTTTATACCTGGTGGAATCTAAGTTGAGAATAAATGAGGCTTATAGGCTGCCGAAAACTTGAGAGGCATATTTTGTAGGTTCAAAATTTATAGCTTAAATCAATCTGCTTTCCCTCCTCTCTTCCTCAACATTTAAAGCCCTGTGATACTTATTTCCTGGTATCTCTATGTTTAGGTACAGCTTGCAGGTCTCGGCTGCCGTGTACTAGTTGTTACTAATGTCTACCAATTGATGTTACAGCTCTTCACAAGCCCTGTGGAAGGCAGTGAGACAGCAAGGGCAGGAGATTCTTCTGGGTGAGTTTAATATTTGGTGTGCTGTTAGTTTAACGTGATGCTTTTTGGCTACAGTCTCAGAAACGTTACCTAGCTGAGAACATTCTCATTGGCTATGTTTCTATTTCTGTATATTCTTAGCTCTAGAAGTATAATTAATGAAGTTCTAGGCCAAAAAATACTTCATTAGACTAAAATATGGGCAGGATATGTATAAGAGCAGCTGTCTTCTGCACTACAGTTTGCTGACAGCACTGTAGAGCAAAGGGATAAAGGTCTTGCTTCTGCTAGAAATGTATCAATTTACCTAAAGATATCATATGATGAAACTAACCAAAAATTGCTGGAATTACCGGCAGATTGACTGGTGGTGAGCAAAGGTTTTTCTGATGATATCCCTTACATTAACAAATGGGTTAATACTTAGTGTTGAATGGCTAACTTATCCATGCTGTTGTATTACAGGTGTTTATGCTGAAAACATCTTGTCCGAGGAAGAAGGAATCCAATAAAACATGCGCGTGAGCTTGGGGACTAGGGTTTGTGGAGACTAGTGTTTGTAAAGACTAGCTATTTTTCTGCCTTAAGATGTTAAGAAGTGGTAACAGTTACACCATTTTGATTGCACATACATTAAAATTCTTTCTCAAAAACAACTGGGTCTGTTTTTGTCACTTTACTGCCTTAAGGAATGACTTTCCATTACGCAACACATTTTTAATAAGCATGCTGAGCACTCCTGTGACTTGCTATAATATGATAAAGTAGATGTATACACACTGCAGTATAATTACTGCAAGATAACGTAAGTGGGTTTCAGTTGTGTAAGCATTCTGTCTGGTGTTTGGTAATGTACTTGCTTTAAACAGTTTAAACAAGTGATACTAATACTGCTGCTGTAATTGCTGGAGAGATTAGGCCTTAAATACCCCTAACAGCAAGAAAAGCAAATGCAACTATTTGTGTAGCTTGTTTCCAGGCTTGCTGTTTCTTCATTATTTTGGCCTCAATTTTAAAGTCTGCTACAGAGGTAGCAGAATCTGTTCCTGCAGCAATAGCATTCTGGTCAATGTTCTGCATCTCTTCTAAATAATGATCCAAATGTGCAAATCTAAAATCACTTGCCAGATGTGGAGAAAGGGAAGAGAGACTTGTACTCTGCAACTTGTCAGCATTCTTCAGTGTCGCTAGTGAGAGTAAAAAAGGCTGCTTTTGTGATAATGACGCATTCTAAGATGGCTGTACAATGGAGGTTGATAAACAGAAGTTAAAGGGTTTTGGGGGAATCTTGGGGACTTAAAATGCAGGTGCTTGAATGAGAAAAACAGCATCTGAGGCCAGAACTTTCCAATTAGATTCATTATGTCAGCATAACTGGCAGGCTGTAACGCTTCAATGCTGTCTTTATAGGAGCTGTGGAATGCAGGAGTCTCATCAAACCTAGGGCGACTGAGCATGTCCGCTGAGATTTAATGCAGATGTTGCTGATCGTTTTGCCCACTTGGTGTCACCAAGTGAAAGATTTTAGTACAGTCTTACTTAGTGTCTGCTTTTTGAAAAAGGTAAACATCGTTAATAAAATAATTCCTTGTGAGTGCATGCTCATTCTGTGCCAACAAGGATCAAAGCAATGTTAACTGTACAGCTCCAAGTAGAAGATACCTTGGTATTGCTTCTGAAAGTGATGGAACTTTCACCCAGTTGGAAATCTTGTCGGAGGGGGTGTGGCTGGGAAAAAGCTGTTCAGGACAGCCAACGAAACAGTCAAAATGGTAGTTTGTGATGAGCGATATTTTTACCGTAGTAATTTAGGTGAACGGTTCTTGGTTGTCATAAAATAAAAAGCAGGGATACAGCTTTACCCAGGGGTTCGTAGTCCATAAAACAACTGTCACGGTGTGAGCTTGTGTATTTTCGTGATGGGACAAGGGAAAAAGCAGTGGTGACGGCGGAAGGGAAGCGTTATTCCGGTCCTGGGTCACAGACGAGACTTCAGGGACTGCCCCAGCTGTGACGGCACTTCCCTGTGTAGTTTAGGTAAAGACCTGAATCTGTTTTCTTGACCGTTTTACCTCCGGACTGGTTACCTGAAAGAAAGATGCTGTGACTTGTTTCTGCCCATCTGGCATCGCAGGGCAGTGTCCCTGTCCCTCTAATGGCACCGGTGAGCTAGCGCATACATCTGTGCTTGGGGCGTAAATTATATGAAATGTGGGATTTCACAGAGGTTTCTCTCACTGAAAAGTCAGAGTTACGTACTTCGATCACGGAAGAACAGGTTTAACGTTTTTCAGAGAAATGTCAAAAAGCAATAGAGTGCCGGACACCATAACGTGCAGGTAAATTCATCGGGATTTTTCCCAAGAAAATTACTGTGAAATGTGCAGGGTTTAGTATAAACATTCAACCTGGGTAATGGAGTATGCAAAACTTGTTTGGAACTAATTTGTTTCTTTTTACCTGAACGTGTATTTGAGCAGTGTGAAGAACAGGTTGCTCCAATGTTAATTAAAATTTTAAAGTACAGTTACATTCTGCTCCAAGTGTTTAATGAAACAAAAGTATTTTTGCCTGATTTTTGAGAGCTTGTTTGTTAGAATGTGTTGACAGAAGATGTTTCTTAGCTGATACGTGTTGGAAATAAAAATGGTTTTAAAGGTTTCAGAAAGAGCACAAGGAATCTGCCTTCTTTTTTAAAATGAGATTCTGTACGCCGTTAATGATGCTAGAGGTAAGTGTAGCCACATGCCCTCAGTAAACAGAAACAACTCGGCAAATTTTTGCTCGACTGTTTAATGTGCTGTTCCATCTGCTCAATATAGGTTTGCTGCAACTTGTTTTTGTAATGGTTTGTTCTTTCTAGTATGTATCAGAATTATCTCATTAAAACAAAGGCTTGATTTGGGAATGCTTGTGTGAGCAGGAAACAGTTTATCTGCGTTTATTGAGGTTACAAGTTGGTGGTATCTATTATAGTTAACTATTCATGAGTTCCGTTTTAGTATTCCTTGTTTATTGTTTTCATCAAAACCAACATTCCTCAGCAGGGATGCTCTAACAGGCTGGGTTTTGCTAAGATGAATGAATGTTGTTCCTATTAGAATCTGGTGCCTTTTGAACAAAACAGGTGTCCTAAACATATTACTGTGATCTTACATGGGAGCTCATATAATCTTACTATTTATCTTACAGTGCTTGGGGGGGAAGGGAAATAAAATCATGCTGTTTTGATTACATTTGGAGCGCATCTACTTTTGGTAGTTGGGGAATAAGCAACAGAAAAAAAATCCTGATTTTAAAATACAATTATTTTGGATTTTCTGAAGGTTTAAGATAAGAGTTGGCAGGAGTCCTTGGCACGTAACAACAGCCAACAACCCGCGGATAAATCTAAAATAGATGAAAGGATTAAAGCAGAAAGAAAGAAAAAAAAAAAGTCTTACGCAGTGAAGCTAAGGATGGCTGAGTGCCAGCTTTTAGCAATAAGAGAGATGGCAATGTTATGTAGTAATTCATTTGCGAGAGAAAACACAGTGATTATGTATTATCCACAAAATACGTGCTGTGGCTGCTGACCTAATGGAGGGTGGCTGCTCTGGGTAATAGTCTTCCCGTTTGCGTCTCTCCTTCTGCACTGAGATGGGGTAGAGGATGCCAACCGCAAAAATCACTTCTGTGATGTGAACATGCATTTAGTAGTAACTAGACTCAAATCCTCAGGCTCCTTTTTATATAGGGCACTAAACAAGATGGGACGGGACTGACCTGTAGTCTCTGTTCAGGGGATTTGTCGTGTGACTGCAGGCAGCTCATCGCGCGTCACGGTTGAGGTAGAATGAATTAGGATGGGCGCTGTGCAAATGGTTTCCTTGCACGTGCCAGGGACGGTGCATTGGCTTCATCCCTGCTTCTTTCCAATGTTGCATGGAAACGATGAAGGACGGGAAAGCAAGTGTGGCGTGGCTCGTGTCATCGGGGGCAGAGAATTAACGTGGGGAACTGGCTGCCTTGCGAGTGCTCCGTTTCCTTTTTGTAAATGGGAATGAAACCATGTTTCACATAAATGCTGGTTATCATCATCATTTCTTGATTAGTATTATAAAACAATCATATCTACGTCAGTGTTAAAATAATTGCTCATGCAAAGCCATAAATTACTATAATTAATACATTCCAGCTATTAACTAAAATCTAAAGGTGTGCTCTTTCTTGGCTTGGTAGCTGCTATTTCAGCAGAATCAGTTTTAGCTGGCTATATCCACTTAATGAGAAGGGAGGAAGGGATATACCGCATATTTTACCTTTTCAGAATGAAGTAGGTCCTGAATTGTGAAGTTTCACTCCTTTTCTCTTGAAGGTAGATGGAAGAGCAGTTAATTTTTCAGCTCCTCTCCGTCATTTCAAATTAGTGAGAGAAGCAAGGCACTGTCAAAGGAGTTGCTGGTTTCTGGCAAGGAACAACTAAGATGATATTAGTGTCGTGCAAGGAAAATTTATGGGTTTGTTTTCTTCCAGCTGCCACACTAGCAAATGCTTTGTCTGTTGTAATTTCTCAGATGCTGCAGGCAATGGCTCTTGAGTTGCTCGGAGCAAAGAGTGAAGGCTCAAAATAGCCGGGGGGCGTTTGGCCTTTCTTCCGCTCGCCCAGGGCTCAGGCTCAGCAACGTTCATAGCATCTGATTGACTTTGTGCTGCCAAAGCTTTATCGCATTTCACGTGTTCCTGTAAAGAAGGACAAGGTCGACACATCATTTAGTGGTCCGGTAGGACAAACATGCACCTTTTTTTTGTCAGGTCATGTAATTTAGTGTCTCAATTTTATGCTTAAAATCAATTTTAGCCCCAGTGTTATGAACCAATCCCAATACTGCCTAAAATTTTAAGAATTTAACAGACGGAATTTGATTTAGAGCGTGCAAGGACATATTAAAAAAACAGTAAGCATTTTGTGTTCCTGTACTCTAATTCAGGAAGAGGGAAAATAACATTTCCCCTGTTTTACCTCCCGACGCTCGAGCCCACAAGATGGTGCAGTGATCAAGTTCAGAGCACTTATTGTAGAGAAAGATTTTTTTCCAACCTTGGAAGATGCTTGTTTGGGGAAACATGGTTTTACTGCTGGTTCCTTCATGGTTGTCTGATAAGATTTGCAGCTTTCATTAACATGCAGAGAGTCCCCCGCACAGTGAAAATAGCACTCTTTAATTGGCTGCTAATAATGTTTCTTAGCGTAGGACCAGCAAAGGCTTGACCCTCCATTTTCTTTGACGCTATGCAAACCCATTGCAGTAATGGTCCCGGCCCCAAAGCGTTTCTGGTCTAAGCAGACAGCAGCGACACAAGAGTGCATGAATAAACAGCGTGATGAGGAGCCAAAGGAGTTAAAATTTAGTTTTCTTTAGTAAAAATAAAAATACTACATGAAGAATGACTTGCCCTTCGTCACCTTTCTCTCAAATGCATGCAGCCTCAGGACTTGCGAGCCCGGCTACTTGCTAAAGCCCGTGACCCAGGCAGCAAAGCCCTGCTGTGGCTCCTTGGTGGTGGGTGTTGAGCTTCAGCTCAGCTGAAGTCAATAAACACCTCGCAGTGCAGCACCTGTGTGCGGAGCTGTAAAACCTGAACAAACTACAAATGAGAAAATCATTTATATGGTGGG